AAAAAAAAACCAACAAAACACCAAAATCTAGCTGCTTTTTTCTTTTTAAAAGTGTATTTTCAAGAAATAAACTCTTTGTACGCAGTTAGAGGGAACTTGCACGACTGGTGAAGTGCTCTGTTTTGTTAAATGCTGCAGTTTGACAAATAGGAATTTGTTCATCTAAGTGGCTTTTGGCCTATCCATCTGCTATTATTTCTACCATTTCCATTGTTGAATGCATGATTGCAGATGTTTTAAGTGCTGTGTCTTTTAGGAAATAAAACTGAAAGGGGTTCCATCTCTAGTCAAACAAACACAGACATTCTTTGAATCATATGCTAAAGTATTTGAGACATTCCAGACTCTTCAGCTGAAGAGGCTCCCTCCTTGCGTTGTTTACATTCAATACAAGAAAAAATGTATAGGTAGTTTGGCAAGACTTTTGTTACCAAGTTAGTTGCTGTAATTTCAGTTGCCATTTGTCAAGAATACATAGTATAAGAGCAAATAGCAGGCAGATAATTTTTTGGGTAGAAGTTAGCAGATCTGGGCTGTGTTGTTGTTGTTGTTGTTGTTGTTGTTTTTCCTTTTTTTTGAGGAGAGTATTGCTTGACATATCAAAGTTTGTGTGCACACAGAATTGCGGCGAAGTGTCCTGTAAGTTCTTAAATGTTAGGTATCTCTTAGGTGGGGAACTTCAACTCAATTACTCGAAAAACTAAAAAATGTGAATTTGAGAATTAGGTGTTGAATATGAGAAATGTAGGATGTTACTGAGGGAGTGAGTTTTATAAAAGGTACAATGATTTGGGCATAACTGGTGGAAGTATCGTTGGTTTTTCTATTTTAAGAAGGGTTTACTGGGAAATTGAAAGGAAAATGGTGGACTTTGGAAAGTCATCATTTATTTGGTGAATATTGAACTGGAAATCTATTGGATTGCTATAATAATCCTGGGATTGGGTCAGGAGAGGGAATAATTATCTTCATGAATCCTTGAACAGGGTCCATAAAAGTTGGTGAGAGTGTATTGCCATTGTAAGTCCTATCGTGGACTCACCTGGCACTTTTAACCTGAAGCTTCCTTTGGTTATACTTTTACCTACTCAATTTTACTACCAATTTATATGAAATATCATGTTTTGTTTCAGCACAGTGGGAACTTGCAGGAAGGCCTAAGCAAATTCCTTCTGACTAGATGATCTACACTTATGTAGTCAAAACTCAGAGTTTTAAAGGTGTGAGTTTTTTAATAAATCAATAAGAAAATATGATTATTAAGTACAGAATCTCAGCCCCAGAAGGAAAATAGGAATGCATTTGGAAATATGAGCGAGTTGGCCTCTGTTTTTTTTTTTAGTTCCTTTATAAGTGATATTTGCTTCCTTACATTAAGCACACAAAGGTTGAGGTTTTCAAGTGACTGTGTGACTTCCAAGAAGCTTAATTTTGTTTTGTTTTTTTTACCCCCTTGTTGCTTGAGATCAGTGTTGTCATTCATCTGTGATAATAAAGCTGATTTTACTGGAAAGAAGCTCTGTTAGTTTATTCTAGCTAGGAAACTGTAGTTTTGTGGTAAACATTTGCATTGCAGAGCTTCTTATCTCTGGGCCAGTTGTTTTGCTTAGAATATTTGTAATACAAATATTTGTATTTACTAAGGCCTTGCAGCACTTTGTTTTATTTTGAAAATGATCATGTGATATTATTCATACTAACAATCAGAAACTGTGCTCTCAAGGCACTTGATAAAAGAGGTAACAGTATTTCACACAAAGGTCCTGTATTACAATTTATTAAGGACTTTTGTGAGTGTGTGGCTTTCTTTCTTTCAAATGTTGAGTATTGTTTGGATCTGTGTGACAAAATCATTTCATTTTGACTTCTCAGCTCTTTTTCTATTCTTTGCAACAAGAAACCTGAGCAAAGTCAAACAGATACTCAGAACTGCTATGTCCAGAGGCATTTCTGCTACATTGTATAGCAGATGTGCTGGAAGCCTTGGCAAATTAAAGATTAAAAAAAAATAAAAAATCATATTCTAAATATTATTTATCATAGCTGAGTATTTATTGTAGGACCTTCAATATGGGAGAAGTGCGATAGAGTTTGAGATGGAATTCTGGAAACCTGTGAATCTGCAACACAGCTGGAAGAAAATAGAATAAATCAGAGATCAGGTTTAGCGTTACTGTAAAACTAAGCCTGTTGCAACAACCTCTGTAACAGTAGTATCAATGCAGCCTCACTTTCCTGGTACCTGTGGTGCTCAGGCTGGAGAAGTGAGCAGGACTATTGGACCCAGCTCTGATTCTGTTGCAACCTGTGCATTTCCCAAAACCAGAGGAATTCTTGTGTAGCTGGAAGCTGTCTTCCAGACTGCTAGGCCTTTGAGGTACTACTCTTTGCTTTGTTTTGTTTTCCTGAAACTAGACCAAGTCAGAACAGATTCTCTCAGTCAGCTACTTGAGAAAATCTTTCCTGCCTTCTGATTATCAGTCTGTGCTGCTTGTGTGGTTTTTCCAGTTTGCATAGGAGACACCTGGTTGGCTACCATCTGGATCAAATAGCGTGGGGTTGATTGACCTTGTGCTGTTTGTTCCATAGACTAGCTTTTGTAGGCTAATATATCTGGATAGGACAAGGCATCTTGACTTCTGTAATATAACGCTGTGAAGTGAGCATGAGATAGGTGGAGTGGTTTTTTTGTTTTGTTTTGTTTTTTTCCTTTTGATGAAGAGGGATCCATTAGTGTGTCTGAAGTGTTTGTCACAAGGTTTTTTGCTCATGATAACAGAAAAACCTGTGCTGTACAGCAGGCTATAATTGATTGAAAAAGAGACTGACAGCTATGTAAATCCCTACTGTCAGCAACGATTTGAGCCAACAGGCTGTGCATGCTGCAGAAGAGAATTCCAGTAATCTGCTCCTGCCTTTATCTCTAGGATAGAGCCCTTTAGTTTTCAGCCAGTAAGAAATGTGTGACGGGTTCTTTGCTAGATTTATTACTTGAGCAAAACTGTCCAGGAAGATTTTTCCTAACAGTGTGCCATCCGCTGGATTTACAAATGTTCTCTTCCAAACCAACCTGTCATGTCCCTTATTTTTTGTCAAAATGCTCAACTTTTGTTTTTTGTTAATTATTTTGAGTTGGTGTCTGACTCCTCAGAGGATGTAAAGAATTAAAAAGAAGAAGAATTTGGTACAGAAAAGTGGAATGTGTAAAAGTTAATAAACACATGTACTTGACACATGCAATTGGGCAGAATGTGACTTGATTATAATACAAGCTACGCCTTGAAGGAGCTGAATGCATTAATGCAAAGTGAAGTTCAGTTCTAGGTGCTTTTGTTAATCATGATATTTAATTTCCATTAAAATGGGGCTTTGATTCATACTGATTTTTTTTTTTCCCCTCCTCCAGAATCAAGAATGATAGCCGCAGGGAAATTTGCAAGTCTTCCCAGAAATGTCTCAGTGAACCATCAGTTCTCGTTAGCATCGTCCATGGACCTTTTGACCACCAAACCTTCACTAACTGAGCATCGCTCAGACTCCTTTCAAGACATATCTATCCATGGCACTCTCCCCAGGAAGAAGAAAGGAACGGTTAAAGTTAGGGCTTGTGATATGTTTAACCATGTGGGAATGTTACCAAACACCAGAACACAAAGGCAACAGCCACCTTTTGTACAGGATGTCATAGAAGAGTACCCTCTACAAAATGGGAAGAGCAACAAACTCCATACCAGGTACTTATGAAATCTTAATTTACATTTGCCTGTTGCATAGGGATTGTTAGATGTTTTCCTAGGCCTCTAAATGTGTAGTTACAGGTGCATCTGTTATAACTTTGTATGCTAATGAAAGCTGATTTCCTCTCTAGTGCTTGGTTTGCTTCTTGATGAGAGAAGCCAAACAAGAAAGTGTAAAATTTGCAATATTTGAGGTAGGATGGAATCTGATGGATAGATTTCAGGAATTTTGAGAATTTTTTTTTTTTTTTTTTTACTTACTGAATATTTCAGATTTCCACGTAATTTTCCTTTTGCAGTAATGTCAATTAGTAGAATTTATATCTTTTGAGACACAACAGCAAGTGCTATTTCTGTTTGATCTTCCAAAGGCTTTTCTAAAATACACACAATGCTATGTCAGCAATTTCTGAGTCGTTGTCGTATTTGCTGTCAAGTTTACACTTCTGAGTCTTCTTGTGATGTCTCTGCACCTTTCGCTTGTTTTTTAAAAAGAATATTGAGAGAGTGGGTCTTATTTTCCTGTGGTACACATTCTGCCATTTAGGCTCATGTTCAGGTTGTTTGGTTGGTTAATTGCATCAGTTATACTATAATATAGGAAATTCCACACTACCTTATCTATGTTTTATTAGAATAGCCTTGTAGTATTTTGATTCTATTATAGAGATGTATATAATATTTATTATAATTAAGAGTAAAGCAGTCTTTCATTGCTATAATGCTGTTCACAAAAGTTAGAAATGTGAATGTTTTAGTCAAACTTCATGATGTGCTGTTAACCTCTAATGTACTATTTGACATCAGTAGACTAAAACTAACCATTTTTAGGATTACAGTGTTTCATGTGTACATGGATATGCTTATACGGAACTGAGACTCAGGCGTGTCATTGTTTTAAGCTTGATAGCTTGTTTAAAAAACATAATATTGACAACATTTTTAATCACTCAAAATGAATAATGTAATATTTATTATATAAATGCTATTTGTTGAACAGTTTCAGTTCAGTTTGTTATTATTCAGTTTGAATATGTTTTTTTGTAGATCTGTTCTGTCTGCAGTTAAAGCACATGGTTGGGTACACTTTGAAAATTAAGATAAAAATAAAATTGTATCAATTAAGTGTTTTACAGGTTTTTTTGTTCGGTTGGTTGTTGTGTTGCTTTTTTTTTTTTTTTTTTTTTTCCCCTCTGGATGGAGGAAAAACTAGTAAATAATTGAGCTGGCAGATCTTTAGGGAAGCTTTCTTCGGGGCACAACAGCTCTCCATCCCTGGGTGTAGGAAGTCAGGAAAGGAAAACTGGAGACTGACATGGCTGAACTGGGACCTACTGGTCAAACTGAAGCACAGTAAGAAAATACACAGGCAGTGGAAACAGGACATGTACTGTAGGAAGACTACAAGGAAGCTGCTAGGCTGCGTAAGGATGGTGTCAAGAAAGCCAAGGCTCAACTTGAAGTAAACTTGGCAAGGGGTGCCAAGAAGAACAAGAAAGATTTCTACAGGTACCTCAGCCAGAAAAGGAAAGACAAGAGGGTGAGTGACACCAGCAAACAGGTAACGAGAGACAAGGTGAAGGGTGAGATACTCAACTTTTTTGTCTTTGTCTCCTCTGATAACTGCTCATCACACAGCCCTTGAACAACTGGTTTAGAAAGAAGGGACAACATCCCTCAACTGTGAATGAAGATCAGGTTTGTGACCACATGAGGAACCTAAACATCCACAAGTCTATGGATCCTGGTGAGATGTATTCCAGAGTCCTGGTGGAATTGGCTGATGTAGTCACCAAGCCACTTTCAATGATATTTGAAAAGTGGCGGCAGTCAGGTGAAATACCTGGTGGCACATGGAAGACAGGGAGGAGGTGATATGAGAGAACCATCATGACTTCACCATAGGCAAATCCTGCTTTACCAACCCATTAGCCTTCTGTGATGGTGTAATTGCACCACAAGGGAGAAGCCACTGATGTCGTCAATCTGGACTTCAGTTAGATCTTTGATGTAGTACGCCACAAAGTGCTTCTCTCTGAATTGGAGAGAGATGGATTTGGTAAGTATACTGTTTGATGGATGAAGAACTGGCTGCAGAATCAAACCCAGAAAGTAGTGGTCAGTGGCTCGGTGTCTGGATGGAGGTCAGTGATAAGTGGTGCTCCCAAGGGGTCAGTATCAGAGCCAGTACTCTTTAATATCTTCATCAATGACAATGACAGTGGGTGAAGTGCATCCTCAGCAAGTTTGCAGATGACACGAAGCTGTGGTATACAGTTGGCACAACTGAAGGACAAGATGTCATCCAGATGGATCTATGCAGGCTTGAACAGTGGGCCCAGGCGAACCTCATGAGATTCAACAAAGCCAAGTGCAAGGTCTTACACCCGGATTGAGGCAAGCCCCACCAGCAATATAAACTGGGAGCTGAAAGGATTGAGTGCAGCGCTGCCAAAAAAAGAGCTTGGGAATGCTGATGGATTGGAAGCTGGTCATAAGCTAGCAACGTGCCCTCACAGCTGAGAAAGCCATCCATATCCTGGGCTACATCAAAAGATTTGTGACCAGCAGGTCAGGGGAGATGATCCAGCCCCTCTGCTCTGCACTGGTGAGGACTCACTTGGAGTACTGCTTCTAGATGTGGAGTCCTCTGCACAAGAGAGATGTAGACCTGTTGGAGCACATCCGGGGGAGGTGGGGTCACAAAAAGGATCCAAGGGATGGAACACCTCTCCTATGAGGACAGAGAGGGCTGAGGCTGTTAAGCCTGGAGAAGAGAAGGCTCGGAGTTGACCGTTCAGTATCTAAAGAGAAGCTACAAGAAAGAAGGAGACAGCCTCTTTAGCAGCGTCTGTGGTAATAGGATAGGGGGTAGATTTGGATTGGATTGGATATAAGGAAAAAGTATTTTACAGTGAGGGTGGTGAGGCACTGGCACAGGTTGCCTAGGGAGGTGGTGGAAGCCCTGTTACTGTAGTCATTCAAGGCCAGGCTGGACCAGGCTCTGAGCAGCCTGATCTAGCTGAGAATGTCCCTATTCATTGCAGGGGAGTTGGGCTAGGTGACCCTTAAAGGTCCCTTCCATCTCTAAGGATTCTATGATAATAGTGTGTGTTGAATTTAAATGTGGCAATACAGTTCTTCAGATACGAAACTTTTTTGCAAGATCATTAGAAAAATTGTTACCTCTGGTTACCTTTGACCATTTCTGTATCATAAGTTTTATTAATTTTATGTCTGTTGCCATGAACCTGTCAGTCTGTCACACTCTGGATGAAACTATGATGTGTGTCTGTACTTCTACTTTCTAGCAAAAATTGTTGGTTAGTAAAAGATACTTTGCATTGTGATTTTTCTTGTGTTGCAGTCTGATATGTATTTTCATGATAGATTGTGAGATACCTACTGGCTTCTGAAAGTACTTGTAGCAGCCACAGTTTATTACGTGATGATGAGATTGCATATTAGTGGAGCTCTGTGCTGAGCAACTCACTAGTACCAACTTGTCAAAGTACAACTTAGCTGGATGATGTGGAGACGGGAGATGAGCAACCAAGTAATTATGTAGGGTTATAAATTTCTGATCTGTTAGTAAGGAGGAAATCAATAAAATTGAGTGAAATATACGCAGCAGTGTTAAATGTTACATAGGGCAATGTATTGAACATTCGTCTTGTTTGCTCTCCTGTATGGAGCGGTGCCTGATGCAATGAGGTTAAACTGAATTAAAGAGGCAGTCAAGTAGGACAGCATTTCCTCCCACCATCTTCTTAGTGCTAAAACAGAGGATTAGCTTTGCTTTGTTTCAGGTCAAACACATTGAAAGCACATCAGCTAGGTGACAGTCATCCTTTGTGAGTAATTTTTGTACCTCAATTTACACGAGCTTCAGATAAATCGATAGAATCTGTGATACCATTGAGTGTGCCTCTTTTTTATTTAAATAAATTAAAGAGATTTTAAATTTCTGAATAACTCAATTTTGAGGAACTACAGCAAACAAGGCACTGACTGTAAAGAATTGCCAGATGAAGATATAAATGAACAGATGACAGCACGTATGCAGAAAAATTTATAAAAGGCATGACTGTTTTTGATAAGCCATAGTTCTGCTGCACAGCCACTGCTTTCACAGCTTTGTGACTGTCCTGGAAAAAGGACACTTAAGAACAGCTTTAGAGAGCAAGCTTTGGCTCTTGGACTTCTAAATGTTATGGAAAATAGAATAATGAAAGCTCCTACTTTGGGTTTTTGGTTGAATTGTAGAGAGAACAGTACTGTCTGTGGCTCAGAATTAGAATTTGACTTGGAAAAGGTAATAAAAGTAGATTTTTCTGCTCTAATTGGTAAGAATGGAGCAAGTGAAGGGATTGCAGAAGATGGAAGTGGTGAAAGGAAATGTCTATAATATTAGCTCTGCAGAGGCATTCTGAACAAGTATGAATGAGTGAAGATTTTATTTAATTTCAGAGAAGAGGATGTTTTATCTTTTCTTGAGTTTAATTACTGAATAGTCCTTGCTGTTCTTGTGTGAACTGCAGGTCATTATGCAGTTAGACATAGAAGTTTGCACTTGTTTCCACTGGTGTTTGAGTGAGTCATGTTCATAGCGTTCTGCAGCTGTAGACAGAAGAGAGGAATGAAGTTAGGAATGTAGTAGGAGTTTGTGTTATGCAGAAGCTGCTAAAGGATAAAATCACCACATCTTTTACTCTAGTTTACAGTGCAAATAGCATTAATCTGCAGTACATATACTTAAATACAATATGTCTAGCGTGTTCAGACATGTGCCTTCAAAATTAAGTAGTTGGGTATTTCTTAAATCTATGTAGATGGAAGGAATTTGGAGACAAGTTGAAGAAGGCTTCTAGTGCTATCTGGTCTCTCTAGCAGTTCTGTCTGTCTAAGCAGCCACACAACAGGTTGGTACATTTTTCAGTTTATCACACTCCTTTGAGCCTGTACTGTCTTCACTTTGATTTGTCAGGCAGCAGCCTTGGCACTGTTGAGAAATTTGTTCTTCTCAGCATTGCTTTTTCAATGTAGAAGAAAGGAGCTGCTTTAAAAAATGTCACTAGCAATGGTCACTGTAAGACAAAGAAACATGCTTTCTTGTAGCAATGTGTCCTACTGTTTTTCCCCACAAGAACATTTAAAAAAACGCTTAATAGCGCAAATAATGTACTTAGGGACCGTCAGCAGTTTTCACAACATGTAAGAATTATTATCTAGTTTAATGATGATGAGGATTTGGGCATCTCTGATAGTACTGTTATGTCCATACTTAAATTGTATTGAAGTTATCACAGTTACTTGGTAAGTGTGGCTATGAGGGTGACAAGGGCCAGAGAAAGCAGGCGCTTAATACGGCTTAGTCTGTGCAGGTCTGTATGTTGTAGGGCTCTTCACAGCAGCAAAAAGGTTGGAAGGTAACATACAATCGTAGGAAGATGGAAGTTTTCTTAAAATGGATAGAAAAAAAATAGTTAAAGATTCTACTTAAAGATTCTTCATTGATATAGTGCTAGATTTATTGAGCAAACCTCAGAATCTGCAGAAAAGGAAAAGCTGCTCGCAAATTCTGGCTGTTCTGCATCCACTGAGCTGAATGATCAGAGTTGGGTTTGTGCTCCAGCGGTGAGAAAGATGTTTTCAGATGTATCAAGGGAAGCTCAAGAAAGAATGTATGATTCTGGCCGGGACAGCCTTAGAATAGTGGAGGTTAAGAGTGTGATGATGAACTGCTTGCTTCTACTGGTGAATTGTTACTGGAGGAGTATTTTATTCTACCACAGTTACAACACAGACATGTGGAGGACTTGCACTTGCGTGCATGCATGCTATTGGTATGTGTGGAGAAGGGTTAACAGAATCATGCTGGAGAGAGCTCTTGAAATGAGGTGGCATGGTTGTGAATACCCAAAATAGATATGGGAGTATGTATTCACATCCCTTTCTTAAATCATATTTTGTGACAATCTGAGTATGAAAAGAGTGTGAAGCCAATTCTGTGTGACCTATTGAGCTCTTACCCAGCGCCTTACTTTGAGGTGCTCTGAAAATATTCCAGAAGACTTCTTTCTGCATTTAATGGGCTTTTTGGCTGAATGAGAATTGAGCTTATCTGATTATCAGGAAGCTGGAATATGTAATAACACCCAACCTGTGAACCCACAGTTCACACAGTAATGGTTGTCTTACAGACTCTAATTTGTACATATTGTAGGTAAGCATGCAAATGAGCAAAGCTGTAAAGTCAAGCTCATTATGAAGAGAAACATTAGCATTTACTTGAAATGTAGTAAAATCTGATGAAAGAGGAAAAGTTTGGTGTTATTGAAATAAGCCTTCGATTGAATTGATTTTGAGACGTAGCAGAGCCTGCAAGTACTTATCCTAAAATGTTGTGTTGTTTTTTTCCTGAAGACTATCCGATACAAATAGTATGTTGTGAATTTGCCCTTTTTATTAAGATGACTTACCAAAAAAAAAAAAAAAAAAGCTTTTATTTTTCTTAAGGGTCTTGACAGGATAGGTTTCCTTTACTGGGAGCATGAGACATAAATGGTGCTTCATCACTACTAACTGAGAGCTGATACTCAGGAGTTAGTTTTGTGCTTAGTTCCTAGTTGTTTTGGCCAACTGCTTAGCGTGGCAGCTTTATGCTGGAATTGCATGATACGAAAGTGAAATAATTAATCTTTACTATCAGTTATTGCACATCAGTGAAAGTTACCTTCCTTGAAAATGATCTCAAAAAATTGCACGAAGATGAAGACTTAGACAAGATAAGGTAGGGAGAGGAGAGGGAAGATCTGTTAGGAGAAACGTGGCTGAGATGAGGAGGGCTTACAGCATAAGCATTCCTTTCCACAAACTGTAGTAGTGGAGCACTGTAGGATTTGCTATGTTTTATTGTGTATCAGTTTATTAGATTAAATATTACGGTGCTCTTGTAGAGATTTGCTACAGTGTCTTTTTCCCAAGGCCAGAATTTTCAAAGCACTTTTGTCATGTGGATGGTGAATAAGTACAGTGAAAGAAAAGTAGGTCACTTTCTTTCAGTCCTGGGTTCTTTGCTTTATATGGCAGGAAACAGACTGCTTTGTCTGGAAGCTTTTCTACCTCTTTCATTTATTTTCCTTTGGCTTGATCTGTCCTAAAGATTTGTTGCTTTGCATTTGACAGTGGGAACAGTAGAGTCCATAGCAAAGCCAGTGTACAGGAGTAGAGTTTGTGAATACCAGAAGAAAGCATTCTCACTGCTAAAGTAGCAGTTAACTAGCTAGTTTTGTCACTTAGGTTCATTGTTTAGGAGTACAGTACAAATTAGCACTGTTAGATTCTTTTTCTGAAAAATAAATTGCTAATTTTTTTTCATAGCATTCAGTATTTTCAGGACTTCCCACAGATCATTTGGGTATGAGAAAAATTTAGCCATGCTTATGAACTTTGCTGAACTGGTTAAGAATAGGATTTTTTTTCCCCAGTTAAATTGCTAAATGTTGTAAAAGAAAACTTTTTTTTTTTTTTTCTGCACTAGCTTCCTTTTTCCTCTGTGCTTCACCTGTTTTCTCTGATATGTTTGTATGTATTTTGTGTGCATACGGTTGCCCAAATGTCTCTTTTTTGGATATTGGCTAGGAAAATACTGCAAATGGACCAAATCCTACTTTCACTGGATTTGGTATCATTGGTGTTTGTTTTGTTTTTTAGTTTTTAAACTTAACTGGGAATGGAATTTGACTGTTGGTAAGTACTGAGGTAGTGAGAAACAGCAACATACGATCCAACCTGGACAGCTGAACGCTTTGCAATATTCTTTGGAGGCAGGGCTGTGAAGCAGAAGGGCTCTGTTTTGCTTGTAGATTAAGAGCTGTGAGAGAATCAAACCTAAAACTGAGTATTAAACAATAACTTAGTTTCTGATGATAAGCAATTACATTCCAAATAAAGGTGAAGTTTGAAACTATCTTTTGAGTTGGTTGATTTCAGTGTAACCCATTTTCTTCCTGTCTGAACCTGCTGATATTTCCAGTGTTACATCATAGCAACTTCCAGTTGAACAGAATTCCCTTTCTAAATTTTTGGGCATGTGTTGGCAGTGTGGCAAATTGTATTGCCATAACAGGCTCCTGATGGCTTTATGAGTCTGCAAGATTTTCATAATGTCTGTTGCATGCTTGTGTGTTTGTGTTTAAATTAGCGCTGTGTGTCATCTCAGAGTCTGTAGAAATCATCCAAGCCTATGTTGCAAACTCTAGTAACCTTCTCATTCCAAAACACAAGCAAATATACAGAAGCCTTTGAAAACAAATATTAGTTTTTATTCCTATTTATTGTGAGAGTTATAATTGATAACAGGGCTTATTACATAGAGTTCTATGCCCTTGGGAATGTTTGTCATGTGTATGTATTGACAACATGCAAAAACAGATTTTATTTTTAAGACAGAGCAATGGCTTGATTACTTGACTTTTGAAGAATTGTAATGTTGAAGTTATGATAATTTTGTGAAGTTTGCAAAAGAGTACAAGAACCATTTTTTTTTCCAAAACGTAAAATATTGTACTTTTGCAAACTCATTAATTCTTTGCTTTGATGATATAAAAAGTGAATGTCGTGTTTTATTTTCTAGTAGGTTAGCAGTGAATGCCCTCTCAATCCTGTCACTGCCAGTAACCTAAACGGGAAAATGTGCAAGAAATAAACTGAAAAGTTTGAAAGTTCTCTCTCTTTAATTTACTTGAAATGTTTTAGGTAACTTAACTATTTTCAGCTCTCTGTTGAAATTTTTGTCATAAGATTGGTTTTAATTCACTTAAAACTGTATAATGATGTTTATTTCCAAAATTCAATAATAGTAGCTCCTCTACTGATTTTCCAGAAGGAATTGATGTTTAATATATTTCTTAAATGATTGGGTAGGCCATCTGCCTTTACAAAGGCAATTTTGAACAAGAATTTTAACATGATCTAATAATATTCAGTAATACTAGAAATATTTGGACTCACCATTCTTTGTTTGTTTGTTTGTTTCTCTTCTCCCTCTTGCCGCATTCAGTTCTAGAGATCAGAATATTCCAGATCCTACTTTGGAGTATGTCAAGGTAAGGTACCAGTTCTTATCCTTCACATATTTCATTCAGTATGTAACTAGAAGTTCACAAGTATTTCCAGTCTTTTGTAGGCAAATGGTGCTCCTGTCTATCTTTTGCTATAGAGAAGCTAATTATAAATATATCAGACCATTTTCTGTGTGCTTCAGTGAAACACTTCTGGGTGTTGTGTTTCATTTGGATACTGGGGTCTCTCTTCATTTAAGTGGCGACTACCCATGAACTTGTCTTTCTTAGCAGCTTAAAAGAACCCACATTCTTGCTTAATTGATTTTTGGGGAAGTGAAGGAACATTTGCAAAACAAAAACAAAAACAAAAACAAAAAAACAACAAAAAGTCAGGTCTGTACTTACTTGATGCTACAATTAAAAACTCACTTCTGATCTGAAAAGCAACTGAAATCTTGGCAAAATTGTATATTCTGTTTTACTTTTGTACATAAAAAAAAAAAAATCAGAGTGCTGAAAAATACATAAGTATGTATTATGTTAGTGTAAATCACAAACACTCTGAAGCATTCATTAATCTTATTTAAAAGTGGAGCCGGAATTGGCAGTATAGAAACTCTGGAAGAAATGTTAGGGATGGATTCTGTAGCAAGAGCCTCTTGCTGTGCTCAATGTCTGTAGTTTCCACTGAATTAATACCTTTCTTCATGGTTGAATTGAGTGAATGTTCTTTCATAGAACCTTGAAAGAACTGATGTATAAGTCACCTCTCTCAGATACTACATTCTTTAATTATTGCACTCCTCTCCTCTGTCTTTTAGGAGATTTTAACGTTCTGGAAAGTATTTGAGAAGCACAGGTTATCCTTGACTGTAGGACATTTCTATAGCTATTCTTGTGGACAGTCTAAATTTCTCAGATGCTTGAATTTCTGTTTTAGGTTAGAATTCTAGTGGCAAAGAGACTGAGGAGGGCCAATAGTAACAGGCTGAAGAGGAAATTATGAAGTCAGTTGAATTCTGATGTTAGAATTGCCTTCGTTGGGTGTTCGTGGTTGAGGAAAATTGAAAGGTTCCCAGGATAGGGTCCAGGTTGATAGAAGTAGTAAACTAGGAGAAATGCTGATGTGGAGAGGCGTCCTCTGCTAGAGTCTCGGCTGAGGGTTGGAGTCAAAGCTGGAATTACGGTTTGGAGTAAGAAAAGGGATGAGGAGAATGGGAAGGGAAGAAGGGGGAAGGAGCTGCCAAAGGACACGTAGCGCTGCTGTTAGAATTCTGCTCTAAACATCAGTTAGTTCAGTGTTGCAAGGTCTCTGGCCTTAGTCACAGATTAGTGCTGAGATATGATAACGTAGTGTTCTTTGACAGAGGCCAAGAGCTGTCTGAGAGCACTGTAAAAAAAAAAAAAAAATGAAAGTGATGCCAAAGGCAACAGTGGTGGACATGTTGATTGTATTATTTAATTTGCTGTACATCTTGCACTATTCTGGACAGTGTACATTGTTACAGTTTTAATAATATAGCCAAGTGAAAGGCAGATGCATGATGTGCCAATTCATCAATGTGTCTTGTCTTGTTGCAACAAGTTTTATATATTATAAATGTGGTTTCTCATCTTTTCAGTGTTCTAGTGGAAGCTTGTCTTGGACTCTTGTCAATAGCCATGGTGCTAAATTTACTTATTAAAACTTTGATGTCAGGATGAAAAGCCTGGGGAAAAGAGGCTTACAAGGAAGAAGACAAGGACTATCCTTTCCTTCAACTCCCTTTTAACAAAGTTTTTCCTGTCTATATATCTTAGTTTAAACTTGGTCCACAGTTCAGTGGTTTTAAAATAGCAATCCTGGAGAAGAAGTCTTAAGACACAAATTCAAGAGGTATAAGAAAAAGCTTCCTGGATTTACAGAATTTTCAGCACATTGAATAAATGGTGAAGGCCATATGAAGTCAGGTATGAACTGCTGAAAATTAAGGTACACAAGTTATAAAGCTTTAAAACAGGGTTTTTTTTGTAGCATCTCGCTCTGCTTGTGGCAACTTTGCATTTGCACATATCTATTTGTATTCAGGCAGTCGGGCTCCTGGTGTCTCTACCAAATTACAGTCCTTAATGAAGTTTACTATTTCAGGACCCCGAGGGCACTAAGGTGCGGCTGCTCCTAAGCCCCATTTCTGAGTTGCTGTGCAAGAAGCTCAAGGGACCTCTGTCTTGGTCTGTTATCTTGTCTTGCCTGAGGCTCGCTGGTCTGTGACAGTACATGTCACTGTCATCACCCTCCTCAGCTTGCTTGTACCTTGGTGCTGTGGGGCTGCACCTTTGTTGGTGAGCTCATTTCCCACGCTGGAGCTCTCAGTTCGCCTTCCCTTGGGGAGCTGCTCCATCACGTGCCAGTAGTAGTGACTATGTTGAATGATCTATCAAAACGATCAAATGTGTGCCATCCTCATGTCTGATGCACTGTGTAGGGCTGTTTGGGCATACTTAATCCACGGAACTAATTTTAGGCGGGCTAGATGGCTAGACTTAGTTGTGTTTTTTTTTTAAAGGGAAGCTGAGCACAGAGCTGATCCTACACCTTCACAGTTGCAGATCGTCAGTTTCTTTAAGTAATGCTACTTAACTTTGTGGGTCCTATAAGGTAGATAATCAGTACTTATTCAGAATGTGCTCTTGCTGGAAGATTATCAGCATCTCCCTTAGATAGAATGGGAATAATTCATTCAGGAATGAGAAAAAATGTCTTTTGATTCATTGTACTCAGCTTCACAGTGCAGAGAATCTTGTGCTGTGTATCATGCAGTAGTGACTACATGCAGGCACTGCTACAAAGAACTGATGGTAAACTCAGAAGCCACTTCTATCAATTTTCTGTTTATACAGTTCTTTCCTTGCTGGTGACAAGAAGTAATATTAATAATTGCTTGTATTTAAAAATACTCTGGCTATGGGAAATATGAAATACATTATTTTTTCTTTTAATTCTTTTTAAGATACAAGAGAGAAAGTACATATAAAATTAGTTTTCTGAAGATGTTCTTTGATAGCCTGCTCTCTATAGGTGCTGCACTGTGGTTTCTAATGCTTAAATCTAAACTAAAGCTCACAAGTGGCAGTTTTATGCATCTTGAATATTGATGTATTTGTTCATTCAGTATACAAAGAGAGCTAATTATGCATAAGCTCCTTCTGAGGGAAAGACACTGATTTGATGGAGTCTGAGTACTGAAGTGTCTGAATGACTTCAGCCCTTCCTTTGTCTTCTCAGCGTTGCTGAAACCATGGTCACAGTTAAATGGCTCTTTCAAAAAATCCTTTTATGGTAGCAGCAGAAACAGGCCAGACTGCTTTGAGACAGGCTGCTAACTAAGTCATGAAAGAGATTTACGAACACAATAGCACGTTGTAGTTCTGTGAGATTTTTTACAAGTTTTACGAGTCAAATAATAGAACCATTGGTAGTCTCAGCAGGTTGTTCCCACACCCAGAGGCTGCACTTCTAGGGGACAGACTCCTGCAGGGGAGAAAAGGATCAAGTGCTGGCAACTTCAGAGTGTGTTGGAGAACTTGAGAGTCGTTTTCATCAAATTCCTGTGAACTAAAACCAGCTTTCTGTCTCACTCCTGTACATTGTAAATACTTTGGGATCTTTCAATAGAAGTCTACGTTGTGATCATTAAAGCTCTATCAGGGTGGAAAGGAAGAGAAACAGATTTCTCTGTTTTCTGGAAATCTTTCAAGCATTTCCTGTGGAAAAATGCTAATAATGGCAAAAATACTCATCAGAGGAGTTCTATAGCCAGAGATTTTAGAGATATGTTTTAATTTATTAGTGGAAGAATTACAGAATTTATGACTGATTGCCTGCTGAGTGTGATCATGAGGGAAAAAGCTTATATTTAGATTCAGACTTGGAAAAAAGAAGTTACAGAGTTGGAAAAAAGGAAGTTAAGAGCTGCAGAAAAATATTACTCCATTGACATTCTCCTGACGCGTACTAGATTTTGTCAACCCCACCGTGTTTATTTCCTCCCTGGTTTTATTCTTCCTTGATTTTGTTAGAGAACAGGCTGCCATATTATTGTTATTTATGACAGCTCTTGTGAATGCAACTGGAAAATAAAATTTTGATGTCATGCTGAAGTGTTGATCCTGTCGAAATTTTTAGCTTACAGGAACTTTGATTCAGCAGTGATGTTCATTTATGGACAGCTTGTGTGATTCACTGAAAAATTTCATCTTCTTGACACCAGTCACACGTGTGGGTGTTCAGCACTCTAATGGCTGTTCCAGGAAGATAATTTGGGCAGAGTACTGTCAAATTGGAAGTTAGTTTGTGTGTGTGTTTATTAGCCGTGGTTTAGGAAAAAAAAGCTTGTCAGCATAACGTGTAGTGGCAGTTTGGGAAAGAGTTTCCTGACGACACTGAGATTTCATTGCAAGGAAACTATTTTAGTCATAGAAATATATTAGAGAAATCCCCATCCCACTGGAAAAGTTGCCAGTACAATGTATACCTGTTTATGGTCCACCGTGTGTCATTCTCCTGTACAGACTTGTCTCTTGAGATGCAAGTTGTGACTTGTGAAGAGAAGGTTTGTTGGGTTTTTGTGTTACACGTTTTTTGCTTGGAGGATTGTCTAACACTAAGGCACCAAATGATCATGAGGTTCCTTTTGATCCTTTCTTCCTTCATTTTTTTCCTTTTTGCATCATGGAGGCAGAAGTGTCAGACATTGTATTTTAATGAAGAGTACACCCATATATCTGAGTTCCAATTTACCTATCTTTTTGTCATTATGGAATTGATATCCAACTTGAAGATTGTTGGCTTGACCTTGGCATTGAACTAAATGTTTTAGTGAGATATTTATAGTTTTCTATGTTCCTCTACTTAGTAGGATCTTTAGTGTCATAAACATCACCCCACAGCAGATGCCTCTTCTACATAAATTGTGTTAATTTATAAAGATAAGACCCAGCTAGATCTAATCTAATGTAAAATGCATACATTTATCCACCTCATAATTAAATAAGATCCTCCT